CACAGGAGACCAGGAACGACTCTTTTTTTCCTCAGTGGTTCCTGAGCTTCTTCAGCTCTGAGCTACAAACAACCTCCTATCTGGGATGCCTGTCTTAATCCAGAGAAGTCTTACTTGCTGGGGAGCAGGGATTTGGAGGCAGGAGTGGGGGTGCTAGCAGGATTGGACTGTGGATGTTGAATTCTTAGTTAAGAGAAACAAACTTAATCTACATTCCCCACAGACAAGAGTCACTCAGTCAGATCAGCTCTCATGAACACAATGGAAGAGTGAGGAGAGGATTAGAGGCAGCCCTTGCCATGGCAAAAATGGTCTTAGAGCAGGGTGTCAAAGACACATGATTTTAAGTGTTGTCAACTACTAAATATTGTGTGGCCTTATGCAAGCCATTTTTATCTCCGAGATAAGTCTCTCATTTGTAAAACAGGAGGACCAAGGCATATTTCCTAGGATAGCAGTGGTAGTAATTATGTGATTAATGAAAGCAGTGAGACAAGACTAACTACAAATGCCCCCAACTCTAGGGAGCCAGTAGCCGCTTAAGAATGACCAAGTCTGCATCCAAAGCTACAATAATATCCAATATACACAGGAGCCTTTCCAACAGTAACGTTTCTGAAGTCTCTGGGGTGGGAGTTTAGAGTGGAATCACACATTTAGATGCTGACTGCAATCTTAGTTCAAGGTTTACTGAACAATGGCTGTAGAACTAGAGGGCGTGTGAGCTTCTCTGAGTCTCCTTCACTCGCAACTCTTGGGGGGCAGGCAGCTTTACTTTCCTTTTATCAGCAGTTTATGCCAGGGCCTCAGCAGGAGAGCACATCTGAATTAAGCATGCCATGTGGTCACGGGCAGGAGTTTTGGGGAGACATACTGGAATACATCCTAGTTCTGAGCAAACTGAGCAACTCCATAAACCCTTGGATTCTTCTAGAGAATAGAAATGACAGTACTTTTTATTTTATTTTTTTTAAATTAGGACAATGAATGGAATAACATACAAAGTTCATAGTGTTATACTGTACCTGGTTTTTGACAAATGGTTCCTATATTTGTCATATTCCTTGTACACAGAGATGTCCCCTGACTGTGCCATCAAGGAAAAGAAACACTGATATGAAAAGGGCAGGTACACAGAACATGAGGGGGTGTGGTGCTGAGGGCGAACTTCTGGTAAGAGAAGTAAGTGAAACATTTCAGATCCCAAATGCTGCTATTTAAGGGTTCTGCCTTTTCCCATGGTCTTGATTCTCTTGGTTCTAAGGTTGCATCCAATTCTTGGCAATGAAACATCAGGGTTCTTTTTGTCCTTAGGCAGTACTTTTTGGAGCCATCCTGAGGTGGGATCCAGGCTGTTTAATCCGTAGGTAAAGAGTGGCCATCCCAGCTCTTTAAGCACTGCTTCATGGTCAGGGACTAGGTTCCTGGCTTGAAGAGGTGTGTGGGAGTTTTATGAGAATAATTTCTTGAGGGAGATTTGGGAGCCTTTGGAAGGGGCAGTTCTCATCAAGAAAAAGATTACAAAATTCAGATATCTGGACCCCAATCAAATGGCATCACTACTGGACGATGTACTTCGCCTGCTGAAAGCTGTGTTACTGAACGAAATATGAAAAAAGAACAACACAAACAGGGTGGCATGCTTGCAACTGGAGCTCAGTAAATATTTGCTAAATGAGCAAGTTAATGAGACTTGAACACCTGAAAAAGAAATATGGCTCAGATTCATATACTACAGAAAGTAAATCTGAACTAAAATCCAAGGCATGAAAGGGACCTCATTTACTATTGGTATCACCATTACAAAGAATATACTGTCTCATTAAAAATTGTCTTTCTACTAGCGAAAGCCTCAATAATCCTTGACTTGGCTCAGTAGAGGGGAAGCTAGGTTCTGTTGTTGGTAGTCCATCCTTCACTGTGGGCGTTAGTTCCCATTATTATGGGAATCATAGCAACTGCCCTGATTATAAAAAGACTCCCAGATAAGAGGATAATAAGCTCTCTGGCTCTCTGAACCACAGTGCAGTGCAATGCTCACTTAAGATCTAACTGCAAAGACGCCTATCTGCTTATCGTTCTGTGCTGGCCAACACCTCCCTTCCCACCAGGAATCTTCTGTCTTTGCAATCTTCTCAGTAGTTCAAGGTCTAGCTCCCCACCCTATCCTTCCAACTAGCTCTGGCTCCTGTCCCTGTTACTTTCCAACTGTCATTTAATTACTGTTCAGGCAGAGAAACACAGACAGAGGAGTGCTTAGAGTTCAGGCAGAAGGTACCCTAGGTCTCCACTTAGGGTTAAGCCCTAGTAAGTGACCTTTGATATGCTTCCTTAACATCCCTAAGCCTTATCAAAAGTGAGGGTGATGACGCTGGGACAGACATGCCATGGGGAGTAAATATGAACACTCACATAAAGAGCCTTGCACGTTTCACTCAAACTTCTGCTATTGTGACTGGTATGTGCTGCCACACATCCCACAGAGGGCTTTAGCCCAGAGCAGTGTCCCTGTTCTATCCACAGGATTCACATTCCTGAAAGGGGCTCAGTTCACTGTATTTCCTCACAGAAGCACTTGTTGAGTTGATTACAGATTGCTTCCCTTCAAACAGTGCTCAAAGCTTCACTGTAGTTTCATAGAACCAAGAAAGCCAAAGTCCACTGGGTAATGTTAACCTCTTCTAACCCTTAATCAAATCAAAAACATGGGAGTAATTCCCAGAGCACATACACAAGCCATCACTCTAGGGAGCTACGTTACCACACTGGATACGATACATGAGTTAGCAGCCTAAAAATATTCCAAAGAGAAATATTTGATGTAGGAAGCTCTGCCAAATTCGAGGGTACTCTCTAATCCCCTGAGACACGTACTTCAATCTTACAGATGCAGAGCATTACAGAGAACACACAAAAAAAGGTCCTATGTAAAATCATGGGAGCTATGTGCTAGCACCTTTTTACAGGCACACAGTTCTTAAGTATTTAAGTACCAGGCTTTCCTAGATCTATGCCCCTAGGCAATATTATGAATAGGCTTCAACAATTTATGGAATAAGCCTGATATAAATCTATGTTTTGAGAAGAGTAACATAAACTGTAACACTGTCAACAACAAAATTCTTAATTTCAGATGTTATCTGTAGCTATTTCCTGTTCTATAAATTATGTTTCCAAATCATATGCACTTCTTTTTAATTGACCTGAAGGATCTTTGGGAACTATATCTGATCTTCCCAAGAACAAAGGCCTTTCTACAAACCACTTTCAAGATGGATTCCATGCCCGGCTCTTTAATGGTATTCTTCTATCTCCAGTTCAGAAAAGGAAGAAAGGACATTTGTCCATGAGCTTGCATTTTACTGAATTCCAAGTGCTCTTCCTCATGCTTTCTTTCAGCCCCACAATTTGTTACTGTCTAACATCACTACTATTGACCAAGCAACTAATAGGAAGGAGTTGCCAGGAGACCTTTGCTGGACAAGAACTAAACCCAGGGCATACTATTCCACTTACATGAGAAATAGAAGTTTTCTGCAAGAATGCAAACTCATCACAAATGGCTAAATCCATTGTTCTAACCTGAGTACTTAAAGAACTCACCTGACCCAGGTTAGAACAATGGAGAGTGTCATCTAAGACACGTCTCTTTCTGGGCCATAACATCTCACTTGATTTTGGTGTTCAGTGTTTATAACAGCCAATAGGTGCTGGTCACACACCTTTGTCAGTGTGACTTCTGACCCCCACCCTCACCCCTCCTTTGCAAGCTTTGCAGCCTTTTTCTTCCTTAAACCAAAACAGAGCTCTTGGAATCTACTACACTCTCAGGTGGTTACAATGTTTTAATGTAAAAACACCATCAATCTGGCTGTAAGCAGCAATCCAAGCACAGACATCCCTGGCACTGGGTAGGTCTGGCCCTTGCTCGCAAGAACTCTTACCCCGATTCTCTCCCAAGTTCTGCTTCCTGGTTATGCAGTACCTGGCCCTCAGCCTACTACCTGAGGTTGTAGGGAATCCAGGATGGGCAAAGTTGAAGCCAAATGTCACCATTTACCCTACACTTTGCCTTGATAAGCACTTTTAGAGGAAACACCCTAGAGAGTTTGATATTCAACGCATAGGCTGCAGATAACCAACTGTATATGCAAGATTCTTCATATGCAAGGTTCTTCACGTACAAGATTCTTCTTATGCCCAAGCTGCACATACACAGGCAAACACGCTATACTTTTGGCTACCTACACATCTATGGGGCAACAACACTTTTCAGGAGGTTTGCTCTGTCTGTCCCCAAGGTAGGTAAACCAGGAAGGGTGGTGGCAGAAGAAAGTCAGCTTTGCTCTCTGACCACAAATGTTAGCGAGAAAGACAAGCCAGGAAGCGAAAAGCTGTTCAGTAGTAACCGGCACCATCAAGAGGTGGTGAGGCAGACAATCACACTTTTCTTTTCCTTACGCTTTTTGACTATAGATTTAATTTAATTTTGTCATGGCAGGATTAGCAACCAGGCCATAGAGGTGAAGGGACATTATAATAAGACAGCCCATTCATCCTCCATCCCACCCAAGGCAGAAGCAAAAGCAAACAAATAGCAGCTTCCTGGAAATTGAATTTCTGTTATCCAGATGTCAAAGATGTAATACCCCAATTACACAAACTATTGCCAGTGAAGCATGCCAGCGAATATGCAATGTAAATGGGGTGAGCACCGAGCGGCGAAACTGCGCAGTCAGCATCTGGCTCTGTGACTGAGTGATAATTAGCACTGTGTGTAGACACTAATAAACATTTATGTCTGAAATTACAACTTTTAGCAATGTTAATAAGGGATATATTGGCAATCTGTAAAATAAAAGGTCTTGAAAAGAATGTCATACATTAAGAAATGGCAGACATTTCCCGTTCTTGCACAATCTCTCCCTCCCCATCCCCTGAAATTGCAAATGGCCACGCCATGCTGTTTTGCTGAGAAATTAATTGACATAAGAACCTACCTAAAAAAATGGGTTGTGTCTCTTTGGTCTCCCCATTAACATCGTTGCTGAATTCTGAGATTTTATATACCTCATGGTGATAATCTGGCATGAAAAAATAACTGAAAATTAGAATTTTAATGACTTCGAGAAATAGGAATAAGCAATTAAAGACTTCCATTCTCTATGTGTATAATTTATAGATATATTTCCAAGAACTCACACAGAAATTTTAGTCAACGGTAATCACCAAAACTTTGCTTACTGTGAAGTGCACAAACTTGAAACATTACTTTGACTTTACAAAACAGGTATGCTTGGCTACAGTTTTCACAGTTTGCTTCAGAACTGTCTCTTTACTCAGTTTACCCAGAAAGTTCTGGCTTAAAAGCAAGCACATATTTTTTTTAAAAGACGCTGATGTGTTATTCTTTAAAAAGAAGCAAGATTTTTTACCTTTCCCATAAGTGAATCTTTTGCATTCATCTACTGCACTTACCGAACAGGCAATAGTTTATATCTCCCCTCCCCCCAAATTTCTTTGAAAAGCACCTGCACAGAAAAATCAGACTCACCATAAAAAACAAACAAACAAACAAACAAACAAACAAACAAAAAACTTGCTATGTCAACCAGATTTTCAAACAAAACACCTTACAATCTCCCTGTGGGAGCCACACCACCTTGGTAATGTAGTTCTTTACAAAGCAGGGTCACGGGGTATGCAAACAGAGGTTCCTTCTCAACAGCTATCCAAGGTTTGGGTGGGTTTGTTTGTTGTTTGCTTTGGCTGTCACGAGACACCATGACAAAACTACCTTCTCTTTTAAATAAAGTAGTAAGTTCCCTGAGGTCATAAAGAAGAAAACAGCCTCCATTCCGCACTGGAGCACATTGCTTTCAACAGGGTCACCACAGACTTCCAAAGTACAAAACTCTGAGGAATCAACATCGTCATTGGGGAGGTGGGTACCAAGAGAGAGTAGCCAAATATTTTGAATACATACGCTATTTCAGGCCTCTATCATTAAACAGTACAAAACTAAATTAGGGGAAACACAGATGAGCAGATCCTCAAAATGTCTATAATTAAACCATTGCCAGACTAACCAAAAGTGGGCTTTATAAAAATCCTCATTTCAGTTTAGCTGAGTTTGAAAAACTCGATCGCCTGCAATCTTGCTCCAATATTCATCTGTTTACACGTGACTTCTTCGGGTCCTTGGAACAATCATGTGGGATTTCTACTCTGATGCCAACGGCAGATAAAATCACCCAGGGAAAGTGGACAGGTTCTGTGATCTGGCTTTGACCTCAAGTTGAGTCAAAGATATTTAAAGAGGGTGGACTGAAACTCAGTGTTAGGACTTGTGCCATTACCAGTGGGGAGGGGGTGTCACGCCTCGCGTTTGGTGACTCTGACATCTCGACAGGTGTGTGCCTTATCTCGAGTTGTCATCTTTTTGTTTGTTTGTTTTAAAGACTCAAATCAGGAAGGTAGACTCGAACAAGTAACAGAGCCCAGAGGAGACAACTATTCAACTTTCTCCTCCCCGGACAAAATAAAAGCCTAAGGAGTACACCTGTTAGTCGGCAGGACCTAGCCGGATTTGTTCTCCCTTTCTTTCTCCGTAATGACACTTGTCTGACTGGTACAGGATCCAGTCGTAAGACACCTTTCCACCCAAATCACTCAACTAGAAAAGATGCTGTGTGTCAACAATTTCCGCCTTTAGCTTGGCTCCCTAATGAGCCGATTCTTCTTAAAAAAAGAACAATGATCATCTCTTCTCTTTCCTCCTCCTCTTTAGGGGAGAAGAAAACAAAAACAAATCCCTGTCCATTCTCGGCCTGCCGGCCAGGCAAACCTTCGGCCACCCCAGCCCGGCGGCCGCGGCGGCGGCACCCCCGGAGCGGGCTCGGCTCCCCGGTGTCATTGTTTGCTAATTTCCTGACGTGCCCTCCGACTTGTTTACCTTCAGG